GAACTCTAGAACTGCAGACACATTCATCACCTTCAAAACTACCATTAGAAAACATCTTATCTCCCTGATGTACCCCGTCGACTAACTACACGAATACCACCTGGTGGTTCACACTTACACTCACTCACCCATTTGACCATAAACAGAAATATTAATCTCAATCTTAAAATAATGAATCCTGTGATACTCCAATACTGAAACTATGTACTGTGCCAAAACAAAAGCATTCACATTGCTAAACTCACAAACTAGTATTTAGTCACTTAGCCATAATACCAACTTACCTCATAATTTGTAATATTTTAAAATTAAGAATTAAACTAAGTCTGCCCGAAATGCCTAGCCATGCTAGGTGTTCTAGTGGTACACTCTGTAATCATTATTTTACTACATGTAAACCACACAATAACCAAATTCTGTAAACTCAGCATTGTAATCCTTATAGAGAATAAACTTTGAATTGAATTGAATTGAATATATATATATATATATATATATATATATATATATATATATATATATATATATATATATATATATATATATATATATATATATATATATATATATATATATATATATCTATATATCTATATATATATCTATATATATATCTATATATATATCTATACATACATATATATATATATATATATATATATATATATATATATATATATATATATATATATATATATATATATATATATATATATATATATATATATATATATATATATATATAATATACTGAGAGAAATACACGCATCAATATTACTACTACTACTTCTAATAATAATAATAATAATAATAATAATAATAATAATAATAATATTCTTAATGTAATTGAGAAACGTATACTCAACAAAATACTTTTGTCTCTCATTCCTTTTTGTTGCATCAGTTTTCTCTTATTCCTTCAAAGAAAACTATTAATCTGGTAAACCAAACTATTTATTGGACTTCATTACTGTATATGGTGTTAAGATTTCGTTCGGATTTTTAACCCCGGAGGGTTAGCCACCCAGGATAACCCAAGAAAGTCAGTTCGTCACCGAGGACTGTCTAACTTATTTCCATTGGGGTCCTTAATCTTGTCCCCCAGGATGCGACCCACACCAGTCGACTAACACCCAGGTACCTATTTGCTGCTAGGTGAACAGGACAACAGGTGTAAGGAAACGTGTCGGAATGTTTCCACCCGCCGGGAATTGAACCCGGGCCCTCCGTGTGTGAAGCGGGAGCTTTAGCCACCAGGCCACGGGGCCACCCAAGGTAAGATTTGTTTGGATTTTTAACCCGGATTATTAACCACCCAGAATAAGCCAATAAAGTCAGTGCTAACTTATCAACGTTATCATGAATGAGTGAATGTGTGATGGTATACATAAATAATGAACAGTAATTCCATTTTCCAGGATTTGTTGAGTACGTATGTCCTGCTTCTTCAATGAGCATTTTGTTAGTCATTATGTGCGCCAAGAGCCTTCAGTGACGAATTAGTGGTAAACAATTCAGTTTGCAGTGTAAACGTCCACTTGTTCATTTTTATGTCTTACTAAACATAGCTGCTGTCGTTCTTACCAGGGAGGTGGGAACATGAGCAGATGTTCATATCCATTTGTGTATATAATTTGTGACAAATTATTACTAACAGTAAAAAGAGAACTTTCTTCTTGAACACTTGCCTTCACATGTGTTTTACGGAAGGGATTTTTAGTGATGAGCTTCCTGGGAGGGGTTTGCAGGTATGTGATATTTAAATGAATACAACTGCCATCGTGGGCGAAATGTTCTTGTTGTCTATAGTGATACAGTTCATTCAAATTATAAAGCTTAATATAATCGCATGTTTTCACAAGACATTTAGATCTGTGTATACTTACTTTTAGACATTTAGTAAGGTTTATAGTGGAAGTGTCTGGTTCATTTATTAAATGTCTAATACCAAGCACAGTATTAATCTCAGTAATCCTATCAATGACACTAGCAACACCAAGCTTCTTCGTGGATAGAATGAACATGAAAATATACAGAGAAGGATGACGAAGATTTTGTTTGGATTATTAACCTGGATGATCAAGCCCAAGAAAACTCAATAAAGTCATTGCGTCATCGGGGACTTATTTCCATTATGGAGGGAGCCGTCAATCTCCCCCAGGATGCGACCCACAACATATGACTAGCGCTCAGGTACCTACTTATTACTAGGCGAACAAGAACAGCAGGTGTAAAGGAAACATGCCTAATGTTATACCTGTGCCGGGGCGCGATCCCTGCACAAGATCAGACTGAAGACACTGAATTTGCAATCCGTGGAAAGGCGTAGAATCGGTGAGATATAATTAGCGAGATATAATTAGCAGTCTTCAAGCTGGCACTGGACAAGCACCTAAAGTCGGTTCCTGACCAGCAGGGCTGTGGCTCGTACGTTGGTTTGCGTGCAGCCAGCAGCAACAGCCTGGTTGATCAGGCTCTGATCCACCAGGAGGCCTGGTCACAGACCGGGCCGCGGGGGCGTTGACCCCCGCAACTCTCTCCAGGTAAACTCCAGGTATAGATTTAAAAATGTAATAAATAAAGGGTTTATAAATACCGTATTGAAAATATCTGTTCTAGACAGGACTCGCAGAAAGAATAAAGGGAAGTACTTGTTTGGGTATTGAGTTGTTAGATGAGCGGGAGAAACTTCCAGCGTTTATATGCTGACAGTTTACTTATATCCCGATTTTAGAGATTACATTATTCTTGTCTGGTTGTGAAACGGTTACGTGCAGCCTTAATGACCCTCGTGCAGTTGACAGGCTTTAAACCCCATTAATCAACTTCATCAACCAACTCGGCAACAGCTTGCTTGGTAACCTTAGTTACTGACGGTGACGCAGTCAGGTTTACCGGTGGATATTTTTTTTTGAGTTGGGCAAAACTCTCGCACACATCGCCCAGTTTTCACTAAGGTTAGTTTAGAGATCTTTTTTTTTTTTGGTGTATGGTGAGAGGCTGTATGTTTACCTGGTAGAGAATTATTATTATTATAATCAAGGGGGAAGCGCTAAACCCGGAGGATTATACAGCGCCTGGGGGGGGGATGTGGAAGGCATTCAGACTTAATTCGGGGAACTGGAGCACAGATCCAATTCCCTAAATCAAGAGCCCCTCACCAACATCAAGGAACCTTCCTCGAGGGGACCTGGTAGAGAAAAAAAAAATACAATAGAAGAGGTTGAACGAAGGGGTGTATGTAATTTTTTTCGATCGGGATTATTGATGAATTGCTGTTTGAAAATAATATAAATAATCTTTACACAAAATTAAATGTCTCCGGTTCATGCCAACATACGCATCTTGTTAAAATTTCAAAATTATATACACCGCTTATTGTGACTATGATCAGTATGACGTTATAAGGCAATAAGAGCTAACAAGGTTGACCTAATGCAGCCATCACTCAGGGTACTTGTTCATGCAGTGTTTGACGCAGTAGCTGAAGCTTCAGCTTGAATCATTCCAACACATTTGTAACATCTTTCATATGAGCACCACCACTGTAACAAGATGGATAGAATATTTTCAGTCGGTCAGTTTTTTTCTCTCTCTCTTCCCTTGTCCATAGCGCTAGAGTTCATTGGATGTTAATGATCTCTACAAAAGTAATCATCTCTTCTCATTACTTCGCGGTGTGACACCCGACCTCCTCACCACTCTCAGTGGCAATTTGTAGGTGCAGATTAGCCGCTTTATAAACTACGTACTTGCCTCTCTTCCTGACATACCTCCTGCTTCCTCCTCTGCAGATGAGTTATCACTTTCAGCACCATTTTTCCTCCTGCATTTACATGTGTTCCCTCGTGGTATCCCGACTATTCTCGCGCACTTTATTTTGAGATGAGTTCTCTGAGGCCGCTACCAGTACATCTGCACTACATGCTGTCCCCTTGCTTACGAAACAAACTTGAGCGTGTGCATGCTGCGTTTTGTGGCTAGCTAAACGATATTGTTAGCCTGGGTATTCCTGCCCCCTCATTGTGTAACTTGTGACGTACCTCTGGCTGTGCAACACGTTTTAAGTTTGTCCACGGCTTAGGCCTTTATATCTTCATGTTTTTTTACAATTGCCAGGGTACCTGAAGGGACCTCGGGGAATTTTTAGGAGATTCTTATAGCATTTTTTTTAATAGATGCTGTTTTTTTAAATTGGTACGATAGTATTTATTTGTGTTGAACAATTTATTCAAATTTGTAGCTTTTATTGTTTGTTAATTATAGCCTTGTTTTTATTGTGAGTTGTATATTTTTTTTTTTACTGATGAGAGGACTGAGTGGCCCACACGGTCAAAGTGCTCAGTAAATATCATAATTACTACTACACCCTGACACGCCCACTCTGACATCCTCGCTGAAAGTACCACCATTAACGCAGACTAACCTGACTTTCTAACAGAATCTAACTTATTGTGTCATATATAACATTAAATCTGCACATGTATTAACCTTCAATTCCGCTAACCTGTACACTTGCACATACCACACCATCGTGCTGTGTGTGTGTGTGTGTGTGTGTGTGTGTGTGTGTGTGTGTGTGTGTGTGTGTGTGTGTGTGTGTGTGTGTGTGTGGGTGTGTGTGTGTGCTGAGTTTGAATTTGTTGTTTATAATAGTTTTGGTTTTGCGAGTGTTAGTGTATGTGGTCATACTGAGAAACTTAAAGTGCTAAATGATCTATCAAGAGAGTGAAAGGCGCACGAGCTGTATGGAAACTTTATTAACACATGACTGATAGGCTGCCAACGCCATCTGTTAATAAGTTTTGATGCTGCTCGTATGTCTTTTTACTTACACTGTGTCTATATTTTATGCCACCTATAAGCCAGTTCCTCGTCGTATGATTCTATATCTAGTCTAATACATCCATTGACTTACTCAGGTGTGTGAAGAACTTAGAAGGAATGAATAAAATAATGTGTAACTAGACATATTTATTGCACATTTAACATGGCACTTTCAGAAATCTTTGATCAGTACAAAAATAAAGAAGAACTTTATACACAAAACTTCACAAAAATAGCTATGGTAATGTACACAGAAAGAGAAGGGAGGGTATTGTATTATTTCATAATTTTAATCGAATAAATTTAATACAAATTGTCTGAAAGTGGTATTAGAAAAGCACACACCGGACAGTTTCATTGTAATTTTAATAAGGACGAGTGAGATAGTGAATTTAGACATTGATAAGTTTTTTTCCCCTTAGTGGGACATCAGTGGTGAAAGGAGTGAACTTTAATTATTAATTGGGTAAAAAAATGAGAGATTTAGAGAATACCAAGACAGAGAGCATCTCCCTTTTCCCCGACACCCTACAGCCCAGCAGCAGTAACTGAACCACTCTTTCAGATACCAGATTTGCTGTCACAAAATCTATAGAAGGTTGACGAAATCAGATCTTAAAAGAGTCAATATTAAATACATTAGACGAAAACAAAACACGTAACGAACACACACACACACACACACACACACACACACACACACACACACACACACACACACACACACACACACACACACACACACACACACACACACACACACACACACACACACTATTGGTAACATGGCTCACTGAGGACGACGACCTTGAAAACAGCTCAACAATAATATTTGTAAATTTGATCTCTAAAATATGAAAAAAAAATAGTTAAAAGTGCTCTTCAAAATTAAATTCATAATTAATCATATAATCTGCAGTAGACTCCCTGAAACGCTGTTTTGTTCTATTATAATAATATAATTTTCTGTGAGATTTTGAGTTGTAGTGATGAGAGGGTTTTAAGGACACAGTTTAGTCCAGGGTGCATCATATTTTTACACTCAACACGAACGAATTTAGGTGAATCTCGTTACTATTACTGAGCAGATAACTGGACACAAAATGCAACAACAATACAGAGTCTTCATATCTCTGCATGTATTATTAGTATTTAGCACCTGAGCAATGGTCTCGTTATATGAAATCATTTTTTATTCATAATTTGTTTATATAGTTTGTTTATATACAGATACAGTAAGCTATATTATAAAGGTCTTCCATATACTACGGTTTTTTTTTGCAAATGCAATTGAAAATATCATTCAAAATTGGATAGTCAATACTGTTCAATTTAAGATATGTTTGTCCTATTACATATGCAAAAAAAAATTGCACTGTGTACAATAGATTTATAAAACAACTTAATATATTTTTGTACCAAGATTTCTATATGTATTTTTCCACTGTAGTGAATCCTTTTTCATATTGTTAGATCATTGGTTTTCTGGTAACTATGTAATTGTATTTCTATATTCCACAGAGGAATATTTTTGACGTATCAACCTCTCTGTGTATAGAAAAGAAATTATGATGAAATAAATAAGAAAAAAAAATCGGAACAAAAAAAAAAAACTCTTGTCTCATCTTTATATTCTTGATAAGATAAAGAAGAATAAGAGAAAGGAAGAAGAGGTAGAAAGAAGAGTACACGAACACTTGTAGTAGAGAGAACCTTTGTTACACAGCCTTTAATTCACAGGTGAACAGAACGAACCCCTGTTGGGGGGAAATGGCAGGACACGTTTCGCCCAATGAGCTTTTCTAAGTTATCGCATGGTTTGATAGCGATACCTATGAGCAAAATGTTGGCTGATAGACTTGCTCAGGTCACTGATGAGCTAAATGTTGTTTAATATAGACTAGTTCTACAATAATTGTCTTTATATTAGCCTACATGTTAGTATTTTGTCTTGACCTTGCTTAATTTATAACCTGTTATCTTACAAGTTTTCTTGACCTTGCTTAATTTATGCCCTGTTATCTTACAAGTTGTCTTGACCTTGCTTAACTTATGGCCTGTTATCTTACAAGTTGTCTTAATTTGCTTAACCTATTCCTGTTACCTTACAAGTTGTATTGACTTGTGCCTGTTATCTTTCAAGTTCTTGTGTCCCTGCTTGACCTATGGCTTATTATCATACAAGTTCTCGTGATCTTGCTTGACTTAAGGGCTGAATTACAGGCCTTCCATTGCAAACCTGAATCTTTCTTAATTCTTTCATACCTGAAGTATACTCGACTCTCAGAGGCAGATTGTTAAGGACACGAAGCGGACTTGTCTCACGATCAGCGGATGGACGATCGAGCCTCCACAACTCTAATGATTCTCACGGGGTTTAGCTTTTCAAATAAGTATGACTGCTTTAAGTAACTTATGCTATAAGTAACTAAAGGCTTGTACATTAACATTATCCATGACAAACAAGAGTTCAAATATTTTTTATCCTATTTATTTCATTTTCTGTAGAAAGGTATTCCTATCTTACTTGCCGCTTTCCTCTGCTGTCTCCCTCCTTGTCTGCCTCCCGCCTTGTCTGCCTCCCTCCTTGTCTGCCTCCCTCCTTGTCTGCCTCCCTCCTTGTCTGCCTCCCTCCTTGTCTGCCTCCCTCCTTGTCTGCCTCCCTCCTTGTCTGCCTCAAGTGTCATTTTCCTAGGCTGATACTTCAGTACTACTTGAAGTATATACCAAGCAGTAACAAGCTCTTTACGCTGATACTTCAGTGTTACTCGAAGTATGTTCACTCTAGATGAGCTGTGCCACTGAGTCAAGAGTCTAACTTAAAAATATTAATACGAGGAATTTTGGATTACGAGAGATTTTTGTGTTGACATGAGGGATGCGATACATGTCAGTCACTCGAGTACCCTAAAACCTTTTACACTGCTTTTCTCTTTTTGTTAAAAATATCTAAAAGCTAAATAGTTTGTATGACCTCGATATCGTTGATCAGTTCATCACACAAGCTTCTTCCCACATCTGTAGAAGAATACTATAAAAATAACATCTTGTAATACATCACTACCGGGGCGTGTCCCGGAGTTGAATACTGGTCCAGTCGTCTCCCTGTATCCTCTCAAGGGAAACTTACGATTCACCTTTAGTCATCGCAGTCAAGCGTTGTGGTGCTAGGCGTGATGGTGGAGGGCGTCGTGGTGGGTGTTGTGGTGGTGGTTGAGGTGGTGGTGGTAGTGACTGGCATCGGCATCAAAACTTGTTCCAGTCTGGAAGAGGGAGTTTTACTACTTTCGGGACCCTTTGGCTCTGTCAAGCTGCGCCCAAACCAAGAAGGTCTTCTGGAGATGTTGAACTGTCGTATGAGTTCCCGCTGTGTTTGGACCTCCGGGCGAGGTATTCTTGATGGTGACCGTATGCTGGGCAGGATGCTGGCCACGCTCGTGTGTCTGACACACAAAGATAAAATGTTTATGACAGTTTTAAGACGATAGAAAGGTCACACGAGAAATTATGATAGAAAGTTAACAGAGGAAGTGAGAGAAGACACAAAACGAAAAGAATGAAAAAAGGGGGAATATTATTAAATTAAACAAAAAGTAGAAATGCAGTAGGATGTAAATCTAAATTGCTGGGGAGGCAACCTTGACAGGATGTTAGAGACAGACCTTTGCTGATTAAAAAAAATATAAAAAATTATGTCTTTCAGACCTTAAAATCTTAATTTCGGTATATCTGTGATGACCAAAGCCTTGACTTAAAGCCACCTGAATTATGTCCTGCACCTTCCCACACGATATCTTCACACCACCAGCAGATACAAGACTCACCTGTTGGGTCGCGGGCTGTGAGGGAAGTAGGGTGTAGGGTTGAAGACTGGCCGGCAACCCCCAACGGGATCCTCGTGGAACCCTTGCCGGCAGCTCACCCGGATGATAGACGGATCTGTAAGTAAACGTCAGCACTGAATATTACACAAGAACCGAACATAAAAAAAAAATCGTGAAGACGGAGCCTCGAATGCGAAGCATTCGAGGCTCCGTCTCTAAGCGCCTGTAAGTCACAAATTAAAGAAATGTGAAAACGTGCTATAGTACTGCAAATTAAGGCTTAACATCAGAGGCGGTGACACGGAACAGTGAAGCTCATCTGAAATTCCATCAACCCCTCAAGCCTCCCACATAAAAATAACTGCTGCTTCAAGACTAGTCCCGTAGCCCGCTCTTCCGGTGCAATATTAACCCCTAAGCCCCTGCTATATAAAATTTATGGAGCCAACCGTGCTTATTAATGAATTATTTAAGAATAGCCTTCAGCCATCCACCACGGCTGATGCTAAACTTTAAGATACATCATTCTCCTTCGTATGTGCCTCTAATCTTTTGACAAGAAGGGTATGTAGTGCATAATAAAACTGTTAAACCATTCTACTTTATGGGGGGGGGGGAATTCTCGACTAATGCAATGAGGGAAGAATTAGTGTGCTAAAATAATGGAAATTTCATAAACTTACACGTTCAGTTTGTAAGAGAAAGTGAACACCACCAGCATTAACTATGCTCATATATTTACATTTTCGTAATTACGCTCGTGCGGTCGGGTACACACACCAGCTTCTGGCGGGGCCTGGAGCTGAGTCACGACCCCTGCAACCACAATTAGGTGAGTACACACACACACACACACACACACACACACACACACACACACACACACACACACACACACACACACACACACACACACACACACTGACACACACACACACTGACACACACACACACACACACACACACACACACACACACACTGACACACACACGCACACACACGCTCACACAAGCACATCAAGCACATCAAGAAATTAAAGAAAGTACAAAGGTTTGCAACAAGGCTAGTTCCGGAGCTCAGGGAAATGTCCTACGAAGAAAAGTTGAGTGAAATCGGCCTGACGACACTGGAAGACAGGAGGGTCAGGGAAGACTTGATACCGACATACAAAATACTGCGTGGAATAGATATGGTGGACAGAGACAGGATGTTTCAGAGATGGGACACAGGAACAAGGGGTCACAATTGGAAGCTGAAGACTCAGACGAGTCACAGGGATGTTAGGAACTATTTTTTCAGTCATAGAGTTGTCAGGAAGTGGAATAGTCTAGCAAGTGATGTAGTGGAGGCAGGAACCATACATAGCTTTAAGACGAGGTGTGACAAAGCTCAGGGAGCAGAGGGAGGGAGGACCAAGTAGCGATCAGTGAAGAGGCGGGGCCAAGAGCTGAGTCTCGACCCCTGCAACCACAATTAGGTGAGTGCACGCGTTACAACACAAGTATACTCAAACACGTGCACATGCGTGAGGTAGGAAAGGAATACTTACCTCTGGTTGAGACAGGGGCAGCCATCTCAGCCATTATAACTGGAAGGTAGTAGTTGACGAGGTCTTCACTGGAGCCAGCACTAGAGCCTCCTGTAACAACAACTGTAACTCTCATCAGTACCCGATTGCTCCACCCAACATCAGGTATACGAAAATTTTCATTATCCCTCTATCCACCTAGAGAGGTGGATCAAACTGGCAAGTAGCGTCATAGTGATTTCTTTGGATTAATTTTAAGCTATGTTAGAATGATTCATCAGTAAGAATGGCTGATTGAGAACAGAACCTGCCTGGCAGGTTACTGTTTTTGTTTTTTACACTACCGGCTCTCTGCCTGGCAGGTTATTGTTGTTCTTTTTTACACCATCATTCCTCTCTCACCATGGCCAGGTGTTCTTCGAAAAAGAAAACACATTTCCCGCCATTTGCCTGAAATGTAAGGAGATAATATTTCAGATGACTCCGAGAAGTAACATCCCCGCACTTTCTTGAGAGTGCAATGTTCTAACCTTCAGAACTGCAACATCCCCACCCCTCTTCAGAGTACAGACACTGTATTTCTCACCTCCAGGGCAGCAAGATCACCCCTTCCTCCTTCCCAATCAGAGTGCAGACATTGTACTTTTCACCTTCATTCCATCAGAGTGTAGCCATTGTTCTTCTGTCTTATGTAACTTTATATATTATATATTTTTAATCCACTTTCTATTTATCTACTAGTATATTCCTGAATATAATCAAGATTATTGGTCTATGTTGAGCTATACATAACTGGATTAACTATAGCTGCAACCGTAACCTTTAAATGAGAGTACAAATTTTCGGGGTCAGGAGCTCTGAATCGACCCCTGCGACCACAATTGGGTGACTACACAAGAGCAACCAATGCTACGTTTCTCTCTCGAGCAACTTTATGAAGCCAAATACAAACAAAGACAAAGTTTATGAGGTATATCTTCTTGTAACTTTTATATTTGTTGTATTAAGCTCCTGGAGAGTAAATCGTGCCTTAATATTTCTTAATTAGTTGCTCTTACATTCTCTTGTATTACATATTGAAAAGTTCACTAATATTCACTAATATTTTTGTTCTTATGAGAAATCTGACAATATTTTTTATTAGAAATTAGATTATTTGAACAATCAGTAATGGCGGGATGTATCTATTAGTTATAATAATTTAAAAATTATGGTGACATGAGTAGAGCCATTTGAGGTTTCTTTATATGATTTGGTTACAAGTAATTTTCGTGGCTTGACGTACTGAAGGGATTCAGTGAAACTGGTTAACTGAACAAGCCCTGGAGGTGGCAAGTGCAGTGCTTACACTCTTAAGGAGGGGTGGGGATGTAGCAGTCCTGGAGGTGGGAAGTAAGTGCCTACACTCTAAAGGAGGAGTGTGGATGTAGCAGTCCTGCAAGTGGTAAGCATAGTGTCTACACTCTGAATGAAGGATGAGGATGTAGCAGCCATGGAGGTGGGAAGTACAGTGCCAGTACCCCGAAGGAGGCGTGGTTATGTTGTAGTTCAGAGGGTCATTTAAAATATAATGTCTGCGCACTTCTGTCAAGACAGTTATTAAATGAACGATGATGTGTTGTCTAGCTTTTCGGGTCACCCTACCTTAGTGGGACACGGTCGCTATGTTAAAAAAAGGTCTTTGTCTCCATAATTTTAATCTACTTGCTGATAGTACATTCACCAATACTCAGGTATATTCACCAAGCAGTGACTACTAGAACAGTCATATATACACGTTATAATTACAGCATATTTTAACTAAAGCAAAATTTTGAATTTGCTTGTCTGTTTAAAAAACTGAAGTTTTACTCAGTTGTAATGGTAGGTACAATTAGCTACACCTCCTAGATACTTTAGTAGGCATCAACACGTACCAGTAAGCTCATAACTGAGTAATGGCTATATTAGTGTGTTTTGAGGTGGATGATAATACGTCATTACCAACTTTTGCCGAAATATTGTAGTTAATGTTTATGTAGATGAACGAGAGAGGAGAAAACAAGCAACTTAAAATAAATTGGTCAATATGAAGCAGGAAGCTGGAACAGTGTGGGTGTGTCTAGCTAGGTAAAAGCTTGCCAGCTTGGCAGTGACCTCGTTGCACGCAACCCTGAGTCAACGTGGAGACCTCTCTTAAGGTAGGCACCTTGAGGCACATGAGGAGCTCTTGATCCAAGGAACTGAACCTTCCTTTCCGTGTAGCAGACTTGATTGCCTATCATTCCCTTGCGGGTTTCGCTGTCTCCCCTGGTAATAATAATAGTATAATGATGCGGAGAGAATGGTTTAGGGAGGAGGAGATAAGGAGGATGTAGGGGTCGTGAAATTGATAGGTACTCGAGGGGAAAGAATGATTGGGGTACCTGGTATGATTGGCGGTGGTTGAGATTAAGGCTTCCCAGAAATTTACGTAGAAGAGAGGTGGGATGGTGGAGGAGGAGAAATGGAGGAGAGATGGTGAAGGAGGAGACAAGGTGAAAGAGGAGAGATGGTGAAGGAGGAGACAAGGTGAAGGAGACAAGGTGAAGGAGGAGAGATGGTGAAGGAGGAGACAAGGTGAAGGAGGAGACAAGGTGAAGGAGGAGAGGTGGTGAAGGAGACATGATGAAGGAGGAGACAAGGTGAAGGAGGAGAGGTGGTGAAGGAGGAGACATGATGAAGGAGGAGAGATGATGGAGGAGAAATGGTGAAGGAGAGATAGTGAAGGAGAGATGGTGAAGGAGACATAATGAAGGAGGAGACATGATGAAGGAGGAGAGATGGTGAAGGAGACATGATGGAGGAGACATGATGAAGGAGGAGAGATGGTGAAGGAGGAGAGGGTCTGAACACAATACTCTGGCCTCAAGCCTCTCACATATTTTTGTTTGTGTACAAGGGCAAAATTACCCGTTTTCACTGCATGAATTGGAAAGTATTCATTAGTCAACTTATCCTTGGCTCTGTAAATATTACCACAGATATTAACAGCAAGGAATACATCTCTCATTTAGTTAGATATTTGTGCAGTTATTTCAAGGCGTTGAATTTACACGGTGAAAATCATCGTATCTCTCAGAATAACAGTCATTAACATTTGGGTACCTATTTACAGCTAGGTGAACAATAGGTGTCAGGAAACATGGCTATTTTAGCCGCACTTTATCATCAATAATTTTTTTTATTAACTCATCGGCCGTTTCCCACCAAAACAGAGTGACCTGTAAAAGAAGCAACACTTTCATCACCATCATTCTTGCCAGAGGAGCGACTACACTGCAGTTAAAATACCGCGACATTAACACCCCTCCTTCAGAGTGCAGACACTGTATTTACCACCTCCAGGACTCAAGTCCTGGAGGTGGGAAGTAATATCTTATTGAATGATCCACGTGGATTTGGCGCTTATCATGAATTTGACAACAAACAGTAATATCTTAGTCCATAGTAGTTAAGTTTAAGCCCTTAGTGTACGTACACTGCGAGAGAGAGACCTCTCAGTGTAAGGTTTATTACCAGCAGTCGGGGATGTGCTTGTACTCCGCAACTAACTGAAACCTAATAAGAAATTAATGCCGCCGCCTCGGGGAGATTCCAATACGTTACTTTATTTAATTCTCTAATACAGATATTAAAGAGATCTGACTTTACCAAAGAAATTTCAGTTTCATAAATGTTACAAACTTTCAGTTATTTATTATTTTGTTTTGCACCAGTCTTTTAACTGTGTCGCTAATTTTAGTCATGATAAAGTTTCGTTTGTGCTTCAAATTGTGTATAAAAACAAAGTCATAATATTCTGTGAAGTAGCATGCTTGTGTATGACAGTGTATACCAGTATACCGATGTACATCAGAACATACCAGTGCTCGCCAGTGTACCAGAGTACACTAGAGTGTACCAAGGGTGTGGCAGGGTGAAGCAACGTACATAAAATTGGACCGTGATCAACCACACTATTAGGGTCAGGAGTCAGGTGACTCGCTCGGGTGAGTAAGAAGTCTCGTGAGAGAGTTTGTCAAGGTGTTCAGGTGAGGGACATACACTCGGACCACTTTTTTCAAGTGGCTGCTAAGGTGATGAGATACTTGTGAAAAGTAATGGACTCGCTGCCGACTCTTGGGGAAACACCACTTGTGGCCAACTCGGGACCCAATATTGACCCCTGTGGAGCACCACTTGTGAACAACACGGAACCCAGTATTGACCCCTGTGGAACACCACTTATGAACAACTCGGGACCCAATATTGACCCCTGTGGAGCACCACTTGTGAACAACACGGAACCCAGTATTGACCCCTGTGGAGTACCACTTATGAACAACTCGGGACCCAATATTGACCCCTGTGGAGCACCACTTATGAACAACACGGAACCCAGTATTGACCCCTGTGGAGCACCACTTATGAACAACACGGAACCCAATATTGACCCCTGTGGAACACCACTTGTGACCAACTCGGGACCCAATATTGACCCCTGTGGAACACCACTTGTGAACAACTCGGGACCCAATATTGACCCCTGTGGAGCACCACTTATGAACAACACGGAACCCAATATTGACCCCTGTGGAGCACCACTTATAAACAACACGGAACCCAATATTGACCCCTGTGGAGCACCACTTGTGAACAACACGGAACCCAATATTGACCCCTGTGGAGCACCACTTATGAACAACACGGAACCCAATATTGACCCCTGTGGAGCACCACTTGTGAACACGGAACCCAGTATTGACCCCTGTGGAGCACCACTTGTGAACAACACGGAACCCAATATTGACCCCCTGTGGAGCACCACTTATGAACAACACGGAACCCAGTATTGACCCCTGTGGAGCACCACTTGTGAACAACACGGAACCCAATATTGACCCCTGTGGAGCACCACTTGTGAACAACACGGAACCCAATATTGACCCCTGTGGAGCACCACTTATGAACAACACGGAACCCAGTATTGACCCCTGTGGAGCACCAATTGTGAACAACACGGAACCCAATATTGACCCCTGTGGAGCACCACTTGTGAACAACACGGAACCCAATATTGACCACTGTGGAGCACCAATTGTGAACAACACGGAACCCAATATTGACCCCTGTGGAGCACCAATTGTGAACAACACGGAACCCAATATTGACCCCTGTGGAGCACCACTTGTGAACAACACGGAACCCAGTATTGACCCCTGTGGAGCACCACTTGTGAACAACACTGGACTTGACACTAACCTCCTGTGAAACGTTATTTGCTAAAAAGGGAACCAGTACTGCCCTCCAATGGAACGCCACTAAACAACATGGGACTCAATACTTAACCATGTGGAACGCCGCTTACGACAGGGTAGCATTCTGATTTTCCAAGGGAGACTAGGAAAAAAATGGCTGTATAATGGCTGTTTTTGTCAAGCTTCAGTAGTTAAGGTTGTTGGGGATTTCAGTGGTTGTGGAATACCGAGGCATGGGAAAGGTAGTTAAAGAAGTTGTTTGTCCGTAAGCTTTCATGCCGGTTGAGGTTCGTTGTTAGGCACCTTGGTAATGATTGTCTGTTGGCATTTGGAGATACATTTGATTTCCATAGACAAAGCAACTATTTCTGCAGGGGGATGGGAAAGGATGTTTATCCTTATTGAGAGGATTAAATAGTCTTTAGTTTTCTTCAGGTGTGAAGACACACACATGTTTGAGAATAAGCTTTAAGTGGGGACAACGCTTCGCTCCATGCAGAGCGAACTTTTCTCCCAACAGAAGCTTATTCTGTAATTTGTGTGTCTATTTGTTTTCAATAAGGCATTTCACTCCATTACCATAGGTGAAAATGTTCATGGTAATGACAATATCAAAGATCGGCAAATGATAAATTACCCTTAATTTAGATTATAGGGCGTTATTAGCAGATTGATAAGAAGACACTGGCAACGGTGTAATAAAATATTAATGATAGAATTAAAGATACTATCTTATAGCTTAAGTATCAGAGAGCTCATTAGTAAACATTACTAGAGCTACAAATGGCGTAATAAATCAAGTACATAAGGCAAAAAATTGCTGCTAAAAGGGGTGGAATTTCGCCTAAAAAGGATACAAGAAATTTACCAAGATTTCATCTGTCCTGGAGACTCGTCTGTGCTGGGGTAACTTACTCTGGGGAGAGTAACTCCTTTATGCTGGGGAGAGTAACTCACCTATGCTAGGGAGAGGAGAAGCTCTGGGAGTTATGACCAACATTTCCAGAGCGTTGTCACGTGTGGGCGTGTCGTTATCTGAGGAGTCTGGGTGTGGGGCACAGGTAACTGGTACCGCCGCCCACACAGCCACCCACAGCAGCGCCACCCCCACCTGTGTGGGCATTCGTCTCCAGCTGCTGCTTCCGCCACCTTCTCCCATCTGTTGAGAGAGAGAAGCGAGTGAGATATCTTTATGGCTGTGTGAGTTACCATTTTGTCATAGGCACTTGTTAATTTGACACGTGTGTGTATGTGCGTGTGTGTGTGTGTGTGTGTGTGTGTGTGTGTGTGTGTGTGTGTGTGTGTGTGTGTGTGTGTGTGTGTGTGTGTGTGTGATTGTGCGTGTGTGTGTGTTTGTGTGTGTGTGTGTGTGTGCGTGTGTCTTTGTATGTGTGTATGTGCGCGTGTGTGTGTGTGTGTGTGTGTGTGTGTGTGTGCGTGTGTGTGTGTGTGTCTGTGGAGGCTTCCTTCAAGGTGTGTGCCTTGTTACTAAGCCTTTTGATACCAGGGATCGGAGTTACTCAGCTGTTACTTGAATCAAACCCGATTGCCTCCAATTTCCCATGCCCTGTATGATCCCTACAGGTTTAGTGCTTCCTCATTATAATAATAATAATAATGACCTCAGGTATGCCCCTCTCGTTGTAAAATTTTCGTCATCTATCACCTCAGCCTGACACTTGTGTCTGGTAATGTCTCACTCAGGAACAAAATAAGAGATAAGATAAGATAAGATAAGATAAGATTTCGTTCGGATTTTTAACCCCGGAGGGTTAGCCACCCAGGATAACCCAAGAAAGTCAGTGCGTCATCGAGGACTGTCTAACTTATTTCCATTGGGGTCCTTAATCTTGTCCCCCAGGATGCGACCCACACCAGTCGACTAACACCCAGGTACCTATTTGCTGCTAGGTGAACAGGACAACAGGTGTAAGGAAACGTGTCGAAATGTTTCCACCCGCCGGGAATCGAACCCGGGCCACCAGGCCACCAGGATGAGAATGATGCTAAATACTCTTCAGGGAAATATTGTCAAGGAAAATACTCTCCAGGAAAATATTTTCAAGGAAAATACTCTCCAGGAAAATATTTTCAAGGAAAATACTCTCCAGGAAAATATTTTCAAGGAAAATACTCTCCAGGAAAATATTGTCAAGGAAAATACTCTCCAGGAAAATAAATAATCTTAAGGAAAAGATTCCCTTCAGGAATAAACTAATCAGGAAAATATTTTTCAGGAATACACGCTTCAGGAAAATCTTCAGGAATACACTCATCATGAAAATATTCTCAAGGAAAATGTTCTCTAGGAAAATATACCCTTCAGGGATACACTAATCTGGAAAATACTCTCTAGGCAACAGATAAATTTTTTAAGAGATAATGACAGGAAAACGAGAGGTATTTGAATTTATTTTTATAACGTCAGAGCAGTAGAGGTGGAGTCGAGAGTAACTCAGTGGAAGTCCAAATATTACACAGCTTCAGAATAAGATACATCAGACACATGAGTGACCTTATTGTTAAATACAGCACAAGAACTGAAGCTTGAAACACATGAAAAAGTAGATAAAACGCGCGCACGCACGCACGCACGCACGCGCGCACACACACACACACACACACACACACACACACACACACACACACACACACACACACACACACACACACACACACACAGGCGCATATAACAGAAAGGGCACTGCAATGGATCAGAGAATACCTGACAGGGAGGCAACAACGAGTCATGGTACGTAATGATGTATCACAGTGGGCACCTGTGACGAGCGGGGTCCCACAGGGGTCGGTCCTAGGACCAGTGCTATTTTTGGTATATGTGAACGACATGATGGAAGGGTTAGACTCAGAAGTGTCCCTGTTTGCAGATGATGTGAAGTTAATGAGGAGAATTAAATCTGATGAGGACCGGGCAGGACTTCAAAGAGACCTGGACAGACTGGACACCTGGTCCAGCAAATGGCTTCTCGAATTTAATCCTGCCAAATGCAAAGTCATGAAGATAGGGGAAGGGCACAGAAGACCACAGACAGAGTATAGGCTAGGTGGCCAAAGACTGCAAACCTCACTCAAGGAGAAAGATCTTGGGGTGAGTATAACACCGAGCATGTCTCCGGAAGCACACATCAATCAGATAACTGCTGCAGCATATGGGCGCCTGGCAAACCTGAGAACAGCATTCCGATACCTTAGTAAGGAATCATTCAAGACACTGTACACCGTGTATGTCAGGCTCATACTGGAGTATGCAGCACCTGTTTGGAACCCGCACTTGATAAAGCACGTCAAGAAACTAGAGAAAGTACAAAGGTTTGCAACAAGGTTAGTTCCAGAGCTAAGGGGAATGTCCTATGAAGAAAGATTAAGGGAAATCGGCCTGACTACACTGGAGGACAGGAGGGTCAGGGGAGACATGATAACGACATATAAAATACTGCGTGGAATAGACAAGGTGGACAAGGACAGGATGTTCCAGGGAGGGGACACAGAAACAAGAGGCCACAATTGGAAGTTGAAGACACAAATGAGTCAGAGAGATAGTAGGAAGTATTTCTTCAGTCATAGAGTTGTAAGGCAGTGGAATAGCCTAGAAAATGACGTAGTGGAGGCAGGAACCATACACAGTTTTAAGACGAGGTTTGATAAAGTTCATGGAGCGGGGAGAGAGAGGGCCTAGTAGCAACCGGTGAAGAGGCGGGGCCAGGAGCTAGGACTCGACCCCTGCAACCACAAATAGGTGTTTACAAATAGGTGAGTACACACACACACACACACACACGCACACACACAGTAGGAAAAGTGTCTATCGGCAAATGCCTTTGGCAACTAGAAACTACTACTACCGTCTTAAGAACCAGCAAAAGTGCTAATTCTTCCATTGACAGATGCAAGATTCCAGAAATTCATGTACTCATCATTCATACACACACAGACACACACACACACACACACACACACACACACACACACACACACACACACACACACACACACACACACACACACACACACACACACACGCACCAAAAAAAAAAAAAAAAAAAAAACATTCCAGCGTACTCAAACACTCCTAGAAAGCGTTAAGTCTTAAGACCTCTTGAACCCCGGAAATCCAGTTCTCCTCCACTGAGCTGTCCTCCACTGATGCCTCATCATCAGCATACCCTGAGTCAGCAGGAGATAAATCACCCACGCGAGGCGTTCAAATGCCGGTGTTTCCCGTATAATTTGCTCATCGTTCACTCACTCTCGCGCCTGTGAACTGAATAACGATAAAGCTTGGACATGTAAGACAGTAAGAACTTTCAGAAGCAGACAAGGATCTAGCAGTCATTTTTCCTGAAGGCACATAATGCAAAAACCTGTTTATTTACTGTCTTTTCAAAGCATTTCTTTTATGTATATCATTTTATGCTTTAGCTTACTTATACGACTGTGACTTATAAGAGTACTGGGGGTGTTATTAGGAGCTTTTTTTTTTCTCTTGGCATTTAGTTTCTGCTTAGATGGTGACATGTCCTTGTGTGGTAGGTGACGTTACTCGTCCCTCTGCATGGAATTATGTTATGAACATGTGAGTAACATCTTCCTCATAGGTCTCAAAGATTTTGCGTAGCTGTAAAACTGGTTGGAAAATCAACTTACCTCATTGTCAGGTGCTTACCATATATACATTTGGAGTGATCAAGGTCCCAAGACCTAAACATTTCCTGTGAAATATCCTAATGTTTGTGCATACCATTATTACAAATTAATTATGATACTCATACCATCTAGATTCCGGAGCACAAGGAAGGCTAGATGTCTTGGAGTGCATGATCTGTCTTCTGCTGTATAAGGTTATGCAGACGCGAGTTTCTGGAAGTAATCAGTTCTTACACCAAGAATAAGATATATTCACTCATTCGTATTATGTTGAATTAATTTTTTGTCATCTGCAGTCGTAATATATAATATACGCTGGAGATATCTGAAAGATTACGAGAATACAGTAGTTGTGTATGTGTGATACGTGGTATAGAAAACTAACAAGTTGAAGAATGAAGCACTTGTGCAACATTTGGGAAGCTTTATTGAGGAAACGTTTCGCCAGCCAGTGGCTTCATCAGTCTAATACAAAGAAGAACGGTAGTAAAAGAGGAGTTTGAAGTAATCAATCCCTCAGCCTGGAATCTATGTGGTCAGTCCATCAATCTTGATGCAGTGAACTAATTCCATGATGCAGTGAATAAACTTCATGATGCATTAAACAAACTCCATGATGCAGTGAACAAACTGCTGAGACCAAAACATATTCATGATAAAATTTGCTAAATGTTTGGTTAGGTGACTTTTAAGAACAACTGTAGGTATTACACGCCCGGGTTTGATCCGGTTCATTGCTCCCCCGGAATATAATAAATTACGTGTGTGTACTTCATTATATTTAAAATGAAGTGTTGAAAGCCAGAGGGGGTAAATAAAGGAGATGCTTGGCTTGGCCCAGAGTAACCAAGATGTGTCTTATGAGAGGCAGGAGAGAAAGTTTCCTATAAATCAGTTCCAAGATCACGTCTCCACGGCCAACCCTTAGAGCCACACCTCGCAATGTTTACAAAGCAATATTAATACCGGATGGAAGATTGGAGTGCGGATGCTGCAACGTAAAACCTTGTACTAATAAGCTAGTTCTGCCATATGTATAGAGGTAGAGTTTAGAGAGAGAGAGAGAGAGAGAGAGAGAGAGAGAGAGAGGACGGAGAGAGAGAGAGAGAGAGAGAGAGAGAGAGAGGACGGAAGGAGTGAATGGATGGATGGAAGAAGTGACAGCATGTTAGTGGTGCATGTTCACAACAACCTACATTAACATAAGTGTATGGCAGTACTGGTGCTGACGTCACCAGGTCCACTGACGTCATCACCACAAACAGGCTGACGTGACCCTCAGGGAACACTAACGAAGCCCTCACTAACTAGACAGACTTACAATGTACTCAACAACAATGAACAAACGAAACTTCCACTGTGTAAAGGTGCAACAAAAATACTTGTAATTTACATCATATATATTTACATACATCTCTGAACTCTGAACACTTACCCGAAGACAATTTAATGACTTCTTTTTATTTCTTAGCAAAATTAAACACAAATTATTGA